TGATCGCCCCATCTCAAAAATGACACGTTGGAATTGGAAAAGGTGCAGAGAAGGGCAACAAGCTTCCATAGGAGGATGAAAAAGACTGGGCCCGTTCATCTTTGAAAAGAGATGACTAAAGTGGGATATGATAAAGGGCTGTAAAATCATGACTGGTGCGTGAATAAGGAAATGTTATTTACCATTGCCATGGGTCAGAACAATGGTCCATCTATCCCAGTATCCTATCTTCCAACAGTGATCAGTGCTAGATGCTTCAGCAGGAATGAACAGAAATGGGCAATTACTGAGTGATCCATCCCCTGTTGTCCAGTCCCAGGTTCTGGCAGTCAGAGGTTTAGAGACACCCAGAGCATGGGGTTGTGTCCCTGAACATCTTGGCTAAAAGCCATTAATGGGCCTGTTCCCCAGGAACTGATCTAATTCTTTTTTGAACCCAGTTATACTTTTAGCCTTCACAACATCCCATGGCAATGAGTTCCACAGGTTAACTGTGTGCTGTAAGAAGAAGTACTTCCTTTTGTTTTAAACCTGCTGCCTATTAAGTTCATCAGGTTCTTGTGTACAGGTAAATAACACTTCCTTATTCACGCACCAGTCATGATTTTACAGCCCTTTATCATATCCCACTTTAGTCATCTCTTTTCAAAGATGAACGGGCGCAGTCTTTTTCATCCTCATATGGAAGCTTGTTGCCCTTCTCTGCACCTTTTCCAATTCCAACGTGTCATTTTTGAGATGGGGCGATCACGTATCCCCCTATCCTCTAGCAAACTCTTGTAGGGCCCAAGCATAAGGGTGAGAGGTGGGCAAGTGTGCCTGGCACTGCTATGAGATCAAGGAGAAGTGGCTGGACCCTGAGCCCAGTGCGTCCCCTAGCACCTGGGCACAGCAAATCCGGCAGATCTGTACATGTGGGAGCCAGTGGGGGAAGGCAGGATCTATATGTACGGGATCGACTAGGAGCAGCTGCACACACCGGGGAACCTGCAAGGTCTGTGTGTGCAGGATACCTGATGGGGTGTGACGGGGTCTGTGCACGGACAGTCGGGCCTGTGCATAGGGGATCAGATGAGAAGCAGCAGGATCTCTGTGTGTGGGATCCAGCAGGGTCCAGTGGGGTCTGAACACAGAGGATCCAATGGTCTCTCTGCATATGGGGGATCGAGTGGAAGATGCAAGCTCTGCATGGGGGTGGGGGGGTACAGTGGGGTGTGTACATAGAGGAGCCAGAGGGAGCCGTGGGACCAAACCCAGCAAAGGAAAATCTCAGGGGAACCACAGGAAAACCTTCCTGCCAGCAGGGCTGGTAGTGGGCTGGTGAGTCATGTCCCCAGTGGAATCAGTGGGAGCCTGGTCTCTTGGGCCACTGAAAACTAGCCAGGGCCTAGCCCTGGCGAATGGACGCTGGGCACAATCTGGACCTGGAGGATGGGAGGTGGGGGGACGATGGCTGGGCAGGACGGGAGTGACCCCATGGCTTTTCGTCTGCTGCCTCTAGGATTCAGATCCCAGGCCAGTCTGCCTCTCCCTACTCACCATGCGTACGACCTTCATCCCGGCTCCTCACCCTGGCAGCCCCGGAGGAGGAGAGTGTGTGAGGAGGGGAGCTCTGCAGTCTCTGGGGCTGGGGCAGGCATCTCTGGGTTTATAAACCCCCCCCGAGTTACGCAAGGAGGGCCTAGGACTGGTCAGAACCTGCCCGAAAAAGTGCTGACCCCAGGGCGCAATGAGTCACCAGTTAACTAGCCCTGGGCCAAACTCTCATTGCTTGGAAGTAGCTTCTGGGAAAGCAATTAATGTGTGAGCCTTCGACAGCTGGCGGGGGAAGGGGGGGGGATGACAGCTGCAGGAGGGGTGGGGGTGGGAGAAGGATCCTGTTGCTGATGCAGAGAACTCTAGCTGTGTCCCTGAGAGGCACAAGCCAGTGGCCTGTCCTGTGCCCCAGGCAGGGGGTCGCACCAGGGCAGGGGCGAGGCCAACCCAGCCGAGCGGGCCCTGCGGAGCTAGAGGCCTTGTCACAGGCCCAGGCATTTCGGAGGAAGATCAGTAAGTTCAGGCTCCACCTGGCTAACCCAGAGCACTTACTCTTTCACCCCAAGCCCTCCCCCGCCTCCTTTCTCATTCTCTCTGGACAGCACCACCCGCCTGCGGCACACAAGGCCGTAGCCTGGGGGTCATCTTGCACTTCGCCCTCTTTAGGTCCTCCCAGCCCCGGGGGCCTCTGAATCTTGCCATTGCTTTCTGCATAATAGCTCTGAGATCCATCCTTTCCCGTCCATCCACCCAGCCAACCCTCTCGCCGTCTCGCTCCCTGCAACGTCCTGCTCTCTGGCCTTGACAAATGCCATCCTGCCCCACTCCCAGCCAGGCTGAACGCCGCTGCAAAGACCGTTTGCCTTTTGGCCATGTCTCCCCCAGCTCCCTCTTCTCTCACACAGCTTCTCTGCATGGTTGAGCCCCTTCATAGCCCAGCCTCATCCCCCTTATCGTCTCTCAGGCCTTGTCTGCACTACGCAGTTGTATCACTTTAACTCTACCGGTGTAATTAAACCAGTAGGAGCCCCTTAGTGGAGAGTATCAAAGGGGTAGCCGTGTTAGTCTGAATCTGTAAAAAGCGGCAAAGAGTCCTGTGGCACCTTATAGACTAACAGACGTATTGGAGCATAAGCTTTCGTGGGTGAATACCCACTTCGTCAGATGTGAATATTCACCCACGAAAGCTTAAGTTCCAATATGTCTGTTAGTCTAAGGTGCCACAGGACTCTTTGTTACTCCTTAGTGGAGAAGCATTTATGCTGCTAGACGGGTACTTGATATCAATATAGCTATTCCTGCATGAGCAGGGTGATTGTACCCGTACAAGGCACCTTTATACTGGTATAACTGTGTCCACACTACTGGTATCACTATAGTGGTTAAAACAAATCACACCCCCTAGGCAATATAGTTCCACCAGACTGACTTTCAAGTGCAGCTCAGACTTCATTCACTATCTGACGCCTGCCTCCAATCAGCCCCTGGCATCAGCCTCCATCGCTCCCTTGTCAACTTTGCCAGCAAGCCCTTTGTGCTTTCTCCCATGCTGCCCTTCATGGATGGGAGGAGATCCCTGGAAGCATCCACAAAGCCACCTTGTCAGCTGCCTTCAGAGCCCTCATTAAAGCTCTCCTCTGCCATGATGCCCACACGAAACATTGCGATGGTGAGGCTGCTGGTGCGCTGAGACCCCTGTCTGTCATGTAGACGGGGCGCACGCTCCTGGTTGAGAACCTCTGTCTTATTAGAGCAGGGCTGGCAACCTATGGCACGCGTGCCGAAGGTGGCACACGAGCTGATTTTCAGTGGCACTCACACTGCCCAGGTCCTGGTCACCGGTCTGGGGGGCTCTGCATTTTAATTTAATTTTAAATGAAGCTTCTTAAACGTTTTAAAAACCTTATTTACTTTACATACAACAATACTTTAGTTATATATTATAGACATAGAAAGAGACCTTCTAAAAATGTTAAAATGTATGACTGGCACCCGAAACCTTAAATTAGAGTGAATAAATGAAGACTCGTCACACCACTTCTGAAAGGTCGCCGACCCCTGTATTAGAGTGTCAGCAATTTGGGGCACGGCCCATCGTTTTGTCCGGTGTACGTACAGTGCCTAGCGCAGTGGGGTCCCGGTCCTTGGCGCAACCTGCTGGGTGCTACGATCGCACTGTTAGGAGCTGGCTGGAACATTGCTATGGGGAAACGAGTGTGTGAACACACCCAGGAGCGTTTGGCTGCATATTGTTCTGGGTAGGGCTGCGTGTGGGAAGGCAGAACGGAGCCAACTGCGACAGACCGAGAGAGTGAGTGTAAAGGAACAGCTGCAAGCACAGTGGCTGATGCTGGAAGAAACCTGGAATGAGACGAGCGCTCTGTGAGACCTGGAATGAGACGAGCT